CCGAGATTGTACTAATTTGACTTCAATTGGACTAATTCGAGTTCGATTACACTATAATTGATCGAGATTGTACTAATTTGACTTCAATTGGACTAATTCGAGTTCGATTACACTATAATTGATCGAGATTGTACTAATTTAACATCAATTGGACTAATTCGAGTTCGATTACCCTATAATTGACTGAGATTGTACTAATTTGACTTCAATTGGACTAATTCGAGCTCGATTACACTATAATTGATTGAGATTGTACTAATTTAACATCAATTGGACTAATTCGAGTTCGATTACCCTATAATTGACCGAGATTGTACTAATTTGACATCAATTGGACTAATTCGAGCTCGATTACACTATAATTGACCGAGATTGTACTAATTTAACATCAATTGGACTAATTCGAGTTCGATTACCCTATAATTGACCGAGATTGTACTAATTTGACTTCAATTGGACTAATTCGAGCTCGATTACACTATAATTGACCGAGATTGTACTAATTGGACTTCAATTGCACTAATTCGAGTTCGATTACACTATAATAGACCGAGATTGTACTAATTTGACTTCAATTGGACTAATTCGACTTCAATTGGACTAATTCGAGTTCGATTACACTATAATTGATAGAGATTGTACTAATTTAACTTCAATTGGACTAATTCAAGGTCGATTACACTATAATTGACCGAGATTGTACTAATTCGACTTCAATCGAACTCGAATCCAATTGGACTAATTCGAGTTCGATTGAAGTCGAATTAGTACAATCTCGGTCAATTATAGTGTAATCGACCTTGAATTAGTCCAATTGAAGTCGAATTAGTGCAATCTCGGTCAATTATAGTGTAATCGAACTCGAATTAGTCCAATTGAAGTCGAATTAGTACAATCTCGGTCAATTATAGTGTAATCGACCTCGAATTAGTACAATATCGGTCAATTATAGTCCAAATAAACTCAAATTAGTACAATCTCGGTCAATCATAGTCCAATTGAAGTCAAATTAGTCCAATTTAAGTCAAATTAGTACAATCTCGGTCAATTATAGTGTAATCGACCTCGAATTAGTCCAAATGAAGTCAAATTAGTCATATTGAAGTCAAATTAGTCCAATTGAAGTCAAATTAGTACAATCACAATCAATTATAGTCCAATTGAAATCAAATTAGTCCAAATGAAGTCAAATTAGTACAATCTCAGTCAATTATAGTAAAATCGACCTCGAATTAGTTCAAATGAAGTCAAATTAGTACAATCTCGGTCAATTATAGTGTAATCGGCCTTGAATTAGTCCACTTGAGGTCGAATTAGTACAATCTCGGTCAATTATAGTGTAATCGAACT